AGGGAAAACACATGATCAAACCGGACTTAACCAAACTGGTTCAGTCCGGTTTGGATGGTAAGAAGGTTACGAGCGAGCTGGATCCTTTAGGGTTTGAGTTCGCTATGAGTAACAGAATCTTTTAAGGTTTTTGTTTGTATATGTTTTTCTTTTTTGTGAGGTTTGATGTTTTAGGGTTATAATTGTTGATGAATCACTCGTCCTGTCTTCTTGTATTATTTTTCTATCATTCCAAAACTCATTAGGATGGTTTGCTAACTTTTAATTTCATGGATTATGTCGTTTGGGTTTTATTATGTAATAACTTTCACATGCCACAAGCTTATATTTAACTTAATTAAGTTGGACTTTTATCAAACTATAGTAAATGCTAAATCCCTAGCAAAAGTTGTCCATTGGCTAATTATAAGCTTTTTTATTATTATTATTGATTTTGCTTATTATTTCGCCAATTTATTAGGGAATTGAATCAAGAAAAGGCGACGCTTAGAGAGTTAAAGTTTTTAGTTACCGGTTTAATGAACCGGTTTAATCGGTTTAACGGCTCCTGAGTCACACATTTGACAGCACAAAAGCTCTCATGTCGTTTTACAACTTCCTAATTTTTTTCCCTTGGAGAACCCGTTTAGGCTTCCAGAGCGTTGTATAAAGTTTGCAATTTAAAAAAAGAAAAAAGAAATAAAGAGCAAAGCTTATTATTTATTTTAATAAATTCCGTGATAACTAAAATAACTTATTAGATAGAGTTACAAAAAAAGGGGGTGATACTCTTTCCAAGAAATTACTTTTTTTTTTCCTTTGAAAATCGGCATTATAATAAAGCAGTAATATTTTGTTATAGGTGGGATTTTTAAATACTTTTGTTAACAGCCTTATAAAGTGCGACCACGTGAAATCAAATTAAAGCATCTAATGTGTCCCTAGTTACTGGTGGGTATCTTAATCAAACCCTAATTCAAGATTAAATATTTATAAAAACATAGAAAAGAGTTCGTATCGATGAATTGAATGGATGTAAGAAAAACTATAAATAATTACTTGAAAACGTATGCCACTAACACTGTCACTATTATATATATATATATATATGTATATGTGTGTGTGTACACAAACTTTTTTTTTTTTTGGTAAAGGGTGATGTGTGTACACAAACTTTAGAACATACAATCTGTTTTATAATATGATTTAATGATATAAACCTCTGTCAGTAAATTGGAATCTAAATTTAAGACAATAAATATGGATATCTCATTATTATTTTTTACCTAATCTCGTATAAAATATTTAGCAATTAGTGTTTTGTTTTGAATTATTTTTCAGTTATTACATGAAATAGAGTATTACAAAATCGAACTATACTGTGCGGATATATCTATATAATATCATCAATTTATAAATAAAGCACAAAAATAGTAAATTATATTGTAAACTACGTACACTTAATTTCTCTTTGGAATCAAATGGACGATTACTCCACGTTAGGTTATTTGTGTTTTGATATTTCTATTCGCTCAACTTGCACATTTTATTTTTTTTTATCAATGAATAAATTCCTTTATTTATATAACATTACGTAGAAAAGGATTTTGTTTAAAAGTGTGCGCGCGTGTAAACATTTAAGAAATTAACCTTATATATATATATATATATATATAGGAGCAAGTGGAAGCCATCATTGTGTTAATGTTTTTATTTTATATTTTTGGTTCGCTTAGGTAAAAATAAAACAATTCACCATGTTTGTGTAAACCCTAAAAAGGTTTGTTGCGTCAAAGTCTAAAGCTTGGTAGCTTCTGTTCTCCCAACTTGTCACTTGGCCTCCGCTTTTCTTTCACACCATGCTAGAATAATAATTTATATACATATATATATATATATATGTATATATAATGTTTCTATATAAGAACATTATTATTAAATCTATTGATGAAAATTGGAATTATTTACATCTTCTCGAATTTTAGAATTAAAAAGCGAATAGGTAAATGATTCGAATAACTTTAACAATATTTATTTATAGTATACAGCAGATAACTGAAAATAAATAAACTTAAAAATATTTGGTGAATATCATAAAATCAAATCTATTGAATTTCTATGAATTCTCCTCCAAATATTCTAGAACTTAATTTGTCTTTTGTGCTTTGAGATTCTCGTTTCTGTTCTTCATTTTGCGATCGAGCCTCGATTCGGTCCATTTCCCGCTCCTTGTCTTCTAGTTAAGGCATGGATGGACCAAAGCATCGGTCCATTACCTCCCCTATATATCAGGACCTAGCATCTCCCCTAGTATATGTGTATAATACATATACGTATTTTTTTTTTAGTTTTATTTATAATGCAAGGGTATTTTGGTCTGTGTATTAAATCGTCACAAAAATATTATTAAGATGCAATAAATAAAAAATTTAAATACAAAACGAAAAACTGCGATTAGATTTCTAACTGTCACTGATACCACGATCTTACCAATCAATTTACATTCGCAGCCATTAGAAATCGTAGATATACGATTTAACTAATTTATATCCTAAATCTCTCGATAACTCTAATATTTAAATACGGAATTCTTAAATACCATCTCACAGATTAAGGAAATGACCAACTGTATTCTTTTAAATGATCTCAAATCATTAGCTTTTCATTAATTAAGAATATCTAAATCAGCACCCAAGCAACATGGATTTTGGAAGTGAATACAAGCGGGTTCAAGAGAAGTGTTGGGTTGTCCTGTCCTCAGCAAACCCGCTAGGAGGAGGAGAAGGTTTCGAAGCCTCTCAGACACTCCGAAGGTTTTGAATGCCAGAGGGTCAAAAGGGTCATTTTGTAAGGTCGAATTCATGAGACCGAAGGGTTAGGGTTTTCATTCAGACTTGTGTTTTTCATTCTTGCGATTCGCTCTGTTTTTTTCCTGAATGTACGAAGGTAAGCCAAAAAAGGCAACAAGGGTGGTCTCCGATCAGATATGAACTCCTCCCTTGCCCCTACCTACTCCGGCAGTTTCTCCGGTTATAACCCTAACATAAATGCGGTTTCCTCTTCTCGAGACATAGGCCCAAGTTCAATTTGATGACCGAATTCGTATATCGCTGTGTCGTCTCTTTCTTTGTGTTCTTGAGAGATCGAAATAAAACCATGAGGTTTCGGAGTGCTAAATCTTCGCAAAAAGTGTTTCATTCTACGATTCAAGATGAATTATCTCATTCCTATAAATACATATATATATATTACCATGGATGGATCTAGTAGTTGACACGGGATCATATGCCATTAATACCCCTAAGATTAATCTTAATCAATAAAAATAGTATTAATTTTACACATATGACCCCCCAAAAAAACTAATGCCATCTATTTATCTTTCCATCATAAAGTTTTCTACATTCATGGAAATTATTGAGAAATACAGTTTCCAATAACAAGAAGCACTCATATGCAAGAGATAGATTTGCATATTTGTGGAAGTAATATATATGCAAATGTAAGACGATGGAACATCATTTTTTTTTTTCGTCAAACATCATTGATTAAACAACAAAATATGACAAAAAAAAGTATTAATTTTGTAAACGAATTAAATCAAAATTTCGAAAACCAAAAAAATTAAATGCTTCGAAGAGAACGTGTAAAATTTCGTGGCTACTCGTTTCGACACAAAAGCAGAATCTCACGAAAATGTCCGACGCGTATACATACATGCATATATAAGTACGGAATACCTTACCTAACCATTCTCCAGTCTTGTCTATTGTTTTTTATTTTATTTTCCAATAATATATCATATTGGGAAGAAAAAGTACGGCACAAAAAAGAATTCAAATCGAAGAGAATGTAGTTAAAATTCTTTTTCCATTAAAAAAATAGAAAATTTGCCTAAAAGTTCATATACTATATAATTTATAAACAAGTTTTGGAATTTTGGAAAATATTTGCATTACTTTTACATTTACAGAATGATTTACAAGAGTATTTATATACAAAGCTGTTAGGAGAATAAAGAAAGACAAATCAGATTTAAAATCAAATCCCATTAATATAGTATATTGCTATTAATTTATCGTGGTTTTACCTATTAATATATGTGTTTTTTTAATAAATATGTATTTATAAACCCAAATAAAAATATTTTATATTGTAGGGTGTAAACCGATAGTTAAAAGTCAAATATATAAGAGAAGACATTTGGAGGGAGTGGCGGGCTCGTATAAAGACACTGGCCAATGAATTTGGCACAGCCAATAGCTAATGATCATTTTTTAAACGTTTAATTAGCACAATTAGATTAAAACCAATTATTTTAACTCTTTTAAATATTCGGTACAGATGGAACCAAAGGCGTGTACGGAACTTTCTCGAGTGGTAGGTCCTCAAATCTTTGCAAATTGCTTAAACCACGGGATATTCTCTGTTTCACTATGTAATTTAATTTATTATGCGCGCGCACACATATACATATATACATATATATATATATATATAAAGGTATTAATCAATAGCTTTAAGAAAGCTTACGTAGATCTACATTTTCATTCAAATATTACCTACTCATGAATATTTGTCTATATTACTTCTATAAAGATAACATTTGTGTACATATTCAAAAGAATTCGTATTTCTTTTTCTCTATTTATCTTTCTCTGTTTCTAGTTAAAAAAAACAAAATTATCTTATTTTTCGAAATGTGCATGCCTCTCCTAATTTATGTTTTGTTTGTTGGAGAAATTGTACCGATATTGTTTATCATTTCTATATTTCAATATATTTTTATTTTTTTAATTTTAATTTTATGTGTCACGTCATTACCACACATAAATGCGAGATGGTGTCTCTGGTTTGTATGGAATATGTAAAGTTTTAATAGTCGAGTTTTTATATGAAAGTTTGTTCAAAATTCATATTATTTTTTTATAAATTGAAAAAAAATCAATATCTAACTTAGAATTTTTTGTATAGATTAATATTTTATATGTTATTCTTTTTTTAATATACAAAGCAATTGAAGAATATTTTATATGTTATTTTTTTTAATTCCGATTCTCACATCTTATGAAATTAAATTAGGGTAACAAAATCTATTCACTATTATTATTATTATTATTTAGGTATTAATCAAGTCGGGGTATCTTATTGTATCCAGCTGTTTCACAATGTAACAACTTTATTTGTAAAATTAGGTAGAAAAATAACCTAATAATGTTTCAAAAAATAATTTTGTTATTAATAATTTTTTTAAAGAAATACATAATATGGTAAAATAATAATGACAATAAATAACAAATTAAACTTGTGAAGTTGGAACCTTTTTTTTTTTGTGGTTATAAATTATAATGGCTACCGCACGAATGGTGCGAAGCTGGTGTGGCCTTCTGGTAAAACGCACCACGTGCTGTCTTCTTCCGCGTTCTACCCAAATTCTCCTTTCCTTTTAATTAATAATACACTTTTCCCATTTATTTTGTTAAATTGACTTTATTTTACATTTTATTTATTTTTGTTAAACTGTATTAATATCTAATATTTTCTTCATCTGTTCTTTAAAACTACACACACATGCATACACCTTGGAGAGCATGGAATATTCGAATATTTAAATATAATTCAAGTGTTTTTATATTAGATATGCATGTGTTTTTTTTCGTAGTTCATATATTTATAATTTTTTTGGCAGGAATTTATATAAATTTTTATTCGCATATATAAGAGAGAAAACGTGTGTATATATTTACAAATACTAAATTGACGAATCGATGAATATATATACATATACACTCACACACATGCACGCACGCACACGTAAACTCTAAAGAGCTGCATTTTGGAAAGAAAAAAAATAAAATGATAACCAAAACATGGTAAGCCAAAAGAGAATAACATACAAAAAAAGTGTATAAAAAAAAAAAAATTCTACGTACTTATCAGACTATTCATATCAGATCCTCTGTTGCTCCTTATAAATACTATCGATAGGCTACACACATTTGCTATAAGCCAAACGATCTCCTCTCTCTCTCTCTCTCTCTCTCTCTCTCTCTCTCTCTCATTTCATTTCATTTCAAAATTTCGATCTTTCTGCACATCGTTCGTCAACATCAAGCTCACAAGAGCTTAATCTAAAGCAAAAATATTCAAAATTAAAAGAAAGGATGGAGAAAATGAGAGAGAAAGTGATGGAGATAGTGAGAGAGACGAAGAGAGTAGGGAGAGAAGATCCAAGGAGAGTAGTCCACTCTTTCAAAGTGGGGCTTGCGCTTGCTTTGGTCTCTTCCTTCTACTATTACCAACCTCTCTACGACAACTTCGGTGTCAATGCAATGTGGGCCGTCATGACTGTCGTTGTCGTCTTCGAATTTTCCGTCGGTGAGCGAGCTCCCAACCTTATTAACAAAAACCCTAATTTCCCATTAGAAATCACGTATTTGTACGTGTATCGATCGACTTATATATTCATTGCTTAACACAATTCAACACACACACAAGAAAAAAACCAGACAGTAAAAGTAAGTTTGAGATTATATATGTTAAACAAGATTCATTGTCTTATGGCCCACATGTCTGTTCACCTCCCTAAGGTGTTAAAATTCGACCTAGATCCTTAGATGCGATTGATATATATGTATATGTTTGTATATTAGTATATAGACAGATATCGAAGTGTGTGTTGAATTTTGTAGGGGCCACACTTGGGAAAGGACTGAACAGAGGAGTTGCAACATTACTTGCTGGTTCACTTGGAGTTGGAGCTCACCACCTTGCAAGCATGTCGGGCCCAACACTAGAACCGATTCTGCTCGCTATCTTTGTCTTTTTGCAAGGTGATTAATCTATAAACCGAACTGGATCAAATATTTTTCATCTTATAACAAATAACATTACAATGCAATGGCCGTATATATATGACTCATCATTCGTCATGCATACGCAGCTTCGATATCTACGTTTATACGGTTCTTTCCAAAGGTGAAGGCGAGATACGACTACGGTTTATTGATATTTATCCTAACGTTCGCATTGATATCGGTCTCGGGGTTCAGAGAGGACGAAATTCTCGATTTGGCACACAAGAGACTGTCGACGGTCTTCATGGGAGGAGCTGCTTGTGTCCTTGTCTCTATCTTTGTATGTCCTGTTTGGGCAGGACAAGATCTTCATGATCTCATCGCCAACAATCTGGCCAAACTCGGGAACTTTCTAGAAGGTATATACATACATACATACATATTCTTGATATTATGTTCATATGGTTCTGTAATCGCTTTGTTAGAATTCTACAAGTGAGAAATATGACTATGAGGTCATAACTGACGTATGCATATAAGTTTTTTTTTAAATAAAGAAATGAAATATGAATATTCGCAGAATTTGGGGACGAATATTTTCAAGGGGCAGAGAGTGGAGATACCAAAGATGTTGACATGAAGAGAGGGAATCTCGAAGGTTACAAAAGCGTCCTCAACTCAAAAAGCAATGAAGAATGTTTGGTGAGTGCCACTGTTGTTATACTTTTTTTTTTTAATAATCCGGAAGTTCACCGGGCCTTTGGCCCGACTATATCTCTCAGAGGATCGGGGCAGCCCATATGAAAATTCCTCCCCAACCAGGATTCGAACCGCCAACCTCTAAATGCTTTGCACCCAATTGCTGACCACTCGCCCACAAACTGTTGTTATACTTATGTTTTTATTAGTACGTAATATTGTATAAACACAATACTATTTAATAATGTCAATAATATCTAACGTTTGATCATATATATTCGGATCAAATTATCGGTCTTCAGACGAATTTCGCAAGATGGGAACCGCATCACGGACGTTTCAGGTTCAGACATCCATGGAAGCAATACCTTGTTCTCGGTGCTCAGATTCGACACTGCAGTTATCGGATCGATGCCCTGAATTCATACCTCAAGGCAGATGTTCAGGTATTCCGAGTTTTCGACTCTAATTAATGATATCTTGAAAAGAAATTAACGTATCAAAACAAAAATATTTTCGATTACTAATCCTAACACTTGTTTATATTTATATATATATATATATATATATATATATATATATATATATATATATATTTGTGTAGGTCTCAATGGATGTAAAGAAGAGATTGGAAGAACCATTGAGAAGGATGAGTTATGAATCAGGCGAAGCAATGAAAGAACTATCACTTGCGATCAAGAAAATGACCAAAGCATCTTCCTCCGATCTCCATATACAAAAGGCGAATTCCGAGGCCAAATCTCTCACAAACTTACTCGAATCAGTATTCGTGAAAGAGATCGAACCGGTAGACGTTACTCGGGTCGTTACAATAGCTTCTTTGCTTATCGATATCGTGAACCTAACCGAGAAAATATCGGAATCCGTGCATAAACTAGCATCCGATGCACGATTCAAGAACAATATCAAACCGACTGTATCCCCGGAGAGTCCCGATCACCTTGCTGTGACAATAGTTCATGGAGACAATATAAATGGACCGACCGATACATCGGAAAGTATTAATCGATTGCCCGAAAATTCGATACGGGAGACTGCTTCAATGGAGTGCCCTCATGTTGCTATAACGATCCATGAATCGGTCCACGAGAAACAAGAACTTGGGGACACGGTAACTAAGTGTAACAAAGGTCATAGTGATGCTGTAAATAATGATATGGCAACAAGAGAAGGTATAGTGACAAAATAATTTATATTATTATAGGGGTTTTATGAGTAATAAATAAGTTCGTTCTTTTGCAAGTTTTGGTTGGTTTAATGTACCGATGTATATGTGTGTGTGACTCAACATATATATTATAATAGAGAAAACATATAATTAACAAAACCAAATTAAGGCTGTTTAATTTCCTCTTTTTTTTAGTAAAATAAATATAATTAAGATCTGAGTGAATACTATAATTACTTATACGCTTTAAAGTTATTATAAATGTTTTTGTTTTTTTAATAATCCTCGGAAATTACGGGCTTTAATTTTATTAGATAATGGAATTGGGTAATTTTTTTCAAACTTTATAACAACGTGATTTTAATCGGAAAGCTCGTTTATAACAATTTTGAAATCTAATCATTTTTAGAGTAATTTTAAAATTGTTTGAATCATTGAAAAGTTTAAGAAAACTGGTTAAAATCGATAGATTATCATCTTATTTATATATAATCTGATCTATTTTTATTACAAAAAAAACTGATCTATTTTATTTTGAAATCGATAGTTTAGCCAATGAGCCACGAAATTGTTGGAACTACGGAGTCAAAAGCAAAATCAATGCAATGAAGGAAGATATAAACAATTATTTATGCGATTAACCAAATGAAGATATTATTAATGGGTATTAATTTTGGTTATAAACCGAATAATCAAACTGATTCCAATTGAATTATATAACTGTAATCGAACCGAATCCGATATAAAATCGAATGGTTAAGACTTTTCTATATCTTAGAAAACCGAATTGGAAAAACTTGAAAATATTATTTACAAGTATGTCATGTTCTCGTAATTAGACTCATGGGTTAGTTATTAGTCTTTTAATGTTTTAATTATTATTTCCAAATAGCTTCTATAGTTATCCTCTCGAAGAAAATGTGGGACAAATTAAAGTGGGCTGTGACATACACTACTTAAAAATATTAGGTACTTGTCTGAAATTAATTTTATTTATTCCAGATTTACCAAAAGGCACAACCAATTTTCAGTAATTACATCATACACGTCAATATTTATTTAATTTATACTTCAATCGAAGTTCTTCATTCTTTTTTTTTTTAAAAAAAGTAAACAACCACGTAAATTGCGTATAAAATCAAGCATCCATGTAATTATAGAAAACACCATTGTAACATGCATCTACGTTCGTAAAATTGTGGCTAGCATATTAGTTCGTAAAAGAGTTATTATAAATATTATTTGTAAAATATAACTTTAATGTGGAAATTAGTTTTGTATGTCATGGGGTGGAATATTTGAAGATTTTTAGACAATAGATTTAAATCCCTGAAAATTCGTTATTTTCAACAATTTATTCAGGTGAGTACAATGAATTTCTAAATGGTAGTAGTGGAAAACATTTTTATTTTTACCGAAAGAGAACGGTTTGTAAAATAGTTTAAATATTTATTTATTTAAAAATTGTACTTTTTTGTAATTGTTTTATGCATTAATATACATGTGAGTTGCGTAACGATGCCATACTTCCGCAAGTGAACACGAAATTTTCCGAATTATCGCAAGTGGCAAACACATCAAAAAGCAATTACACAGTATTGTTTTTATTTATTTATTGAATTTTATGACGGCGAATATGCGTTCTTCTTCTTCTTTTTTTTCTAACTCCTCTAATGTAGACAATATATTAATATCTTATAATGTAGATAATATATTAATATCTTATAACATATACAGAGGGTAACACAATCCTCTGCAATCGCAGTGACGGTAACTTTTGACCATTGCAGACGAGTAAAAAATGATTATTGAAATCATAATCGTTTACCATCGCAACAAAACGTTAACATCCGTAACTAAAAAGTTAAATTATGTTAGCGTTTTATATAGTTTTAGTTGAATGAATAAAATACTCTTAATATTAATATATATATATATACATATTATATATATATATAACCTTACTATGTGTGTATATATACATGAAATATATAAAAGAATATCACGACATTAGATTAATTTTTTATATTTTAAATATTTATAAAATTTTAATTGTAGTATATTTGAAAGTATGCGTCCGAGGAGATTATGAAATGTCGAATATTTAAAATATCAATTAGCTTATATTGAACATCAATTTAGACCCCCAGAGGAAGAACCAATGTTACTCTTTCAGCCGACAATAACAGAGCTCGAACACAAATGTTCAAAAAAGTAATTAAATTTTCCATTATACAATAAATTAGGAAAATAATATCACTAGTAAAACCGGATTTTACTTTAACATGTCGAATCTTGACTTTGCGCCATATTAATTCCACTAAAACTTTTTTGGTGATATAAATAAAAGTATTCAATGAATTCATCCCACCTGTCTTTTTGTACTAGATATTTTATACAATGTTTTAGTACAAAATTCTATTATTAAAATAATGTTAATTGGACCGACGAGAATGATAATGAACTTAAATAAGAAAACATTTATTTTGTTAAAAGTTACATTACATAGACCACTTCACTTATCATGATTGCGCCACTTGCGTATCGAATGGTCTCCGGGTGCACTATCATTTGAATTATTTCTCCATTTTGTCATTATAGTTTCGTTTAAATAAAATATATTAATGCGTAGTTATATTAAGTAATATTTTTTGCTTATGGTAAGGTTCTAGATTGAAGTGGAAGCCGACATATATAGTCTCTTGATGATGACACTAATGCGCTCCACATGGATCGGTGAATTTCTTCGAATTTTTTAATTTATAGATGGTTTATTTTTATATTTTTGGAAATCTTCATCAATGCGGTTTAAGCCGTACATCCAAAGTGCAAAAATGGTACAGCAAACTTAATGTTTTTTATTATCACAAATCCTTTTAGTTTAGTCCCTTTCTATTATTGGGTCATGTTATCTTTGAATCAATTTTTCAAATTTAATATATTTTAGGAAAAGTATTAAATTTGAATTCATTTTCTATATTTATCAAAATAAGATACAATATGATTGTATATCATATCTATTAAATATTAATTTTTTTATTTTTTTAATAATGAAAAATCTTCAAAATTTTCTAAACAAATCTGAATTATGATTAAATGTCATTAATATCTTTCAATCTTATCGATTGAGAATTTTTAACTTTAAATCACTTTCGATCCAGTAAAAATATAAAGATGTAAAACTAATTCCTACTCACGAATTGGTTCACGGTTGACTCATTTTTATCTAGTCGAGTCGAAAAAATCTTCTTTTATTTCTTTATTATTTTGATATATTTATTTTTATAGATGTGTCAAAATTATTTTATTAATAAAAATAGACCGCACCCAAACCAAACTCAAAATAAAATTGGCTCGAACCGAATTGGTCCGTTTTATATCCCTAATTAAACCTTCGTCATTGACCCCATTCAACTAATAGTCTACTAACCCACCAATCCTCATTTCTTCAACGCCATTCCCATTTATTCATATTGAAACTCTAATCTTAAATCCAATTATTTGCTTTTGAATTCTAACGTCAAACATTTGTTTGTGGCATCTTTTAATGTAAAGAAATATATTAAAAGATGTTAAAATCACGACATTAGATTAAATTTTAAATCTCTAACATTTTCCGCACAAATATTTATTATATGACATACCTCCATTAAAGTAAAGCATGATTCATATTTCAGAATCGTCCTATCTTTTTATCATTATGATCGTATTATATATGTACACGTATACATAAAGTCGGATATATGTACGTGTATACATACATATCTATCTACTGTAGACTACAAATGTCAACGCAAATCAGACAAACGGTGATGCTCACCAGTGGTTGACACTATTTTATATACAACCAATAGTAAATAGTAAATACGTTGGTTCGAATAGCGAAAAAATTGCTAGATTTTTTTTAGATTTTTCATTATTCAAAATAAACATTACAATAAATATATAACTTAATTTTATAATGTTTTATTTAATTAATATAAATATTTAAATTATGAAAACAAAATCAAATCATAATATTATGTAAACTTATCAGGGTTTTTTTTTTCATCTCTTGATATAACATGTAAAAATTATAACCCATGTCAGTATTTGTTTTTTGGCAATAAAATATGTTCCATGTCCTTAAACCACAAAACATTCGTTGTTATTTCGTGGTAAAAGCACCTCAATTTTGTTGATAAAAACTAACAATAACTCAAAATTTTGTACCGTAAATCTATTTTTTTTTTACAAAAGGTACAAATATATTACTAAATAAAGAGTTCATATACAAAATCGGTTAAGACCGAATAAAGTACAAAAAAAAATACTCATGTGCCACTATTTTGACACCATAACATTCAAAAGAAAAACAACATGTTTAAGTAGCTATCAACGTGAGAGAACAATGGCGTACCAATCAGCTAGAAGAGCAGGATCGATCTTTCGGCGGGAGTCGAGAAGAGAGAGTATGTAGTTTCAAACCATGGCGTTCAACTTACTGCATAGGGAATCTATCGTAGATGACCCACCTCGGAAGATCCTCGTGTTCCTATCCGATCATAGCAAGTACATCGAGCATTGGAGCAGGATTAAAGCAATAAGACAACGGTTATGTGATTGATCATTACCCGGATTACGTATAAAGGCCATAATGTCATGCAAGTCTAGAGGCACCAAATTCCAAATGTACCTGGCGAATCTGTGCCATACCTGTGTACTGTAGATGCACCTGAAGAAGAGGTGGGAGTGAGATTCTTCTTCCAAGCTGCAAAGTAGGCATGTGGAGGACGCCACCGCCCTCCAGCGATATAACCTATCCCGTGTCGGAAGGCGGCCACGGAGAGCCAACCATTGGATGAAGCCGAAACGGGTACCCCTCGGAGAACCAAGCCAGGGAGTGCCAGGGCACCTCGGACGATGACTGACGGAGGAGTTTCCATGTATTTGCATGCAGAGGAGAAGATACCGACAAAGACACCTTGGGCGACGACCGTAAATCTATTTTTACTGCTTGACTAGACCACAAAACAAGTTGAACAACTAATTCGGAACCTTGTATAAAAATCGTTATGTTAGATAATAAAAACCTTATAATTAATTCAATACCTTTTAATTATTGACGCGATACATACATATGAGTTGCGTGACGATGCCAAACTTCTGCAATTGAATAAAAGGTAATTATAAAAATTCTTATAACAAAAAAAATTATATATATTTTTTATTTTTCACAAAAATTTGTATTATGATATTATACCAAATTCGTTCTCTACGTTTTTGTTAATAAATAAGAATTGCATACACATAAATTTTCTGTTTAAAGATAAATTTTAACCTAAATGGGTAATATTTATATTTTTTGTATGTATTCATAGTAACGATACTTCTTTTATTTTTTTAGAAAAAGAAAGTAATATAGTTTTGGGAAAAACACTAATTTTGCTTTTAACATATGGAATCTTGACTTTGCATCTTATTCCAGCAAAACGTTTTTGTTATATAAAATATTTTATATAATTTCAGAATGAAAAAAAAAACCCCTATTATGCGGCCTAATAAAACTTTCATGGAGCATTGAAAATTAAGAAAATAAATGTTTTATGATTTGAAAAAAAAATGGAATCTATTGAAGTATGTCCATGGCTGGATGATAGTGGTGTGTGCGTCACCATGTAAAAACTTTTGTGCCAAAAGCTACATTACATAGACCACTTCACTTATCACGATTGATCCACTTGGGTATCGAATGGTCTTCTGGTGCACCACATAAATCAATCGGTGGATTTCTTCAAATATTTTTTTTATTTTTTTATTTGTTTGGCAAAATCTCCATCAATGTGGTCTAAACCGTACATTCAAAGTGCAAAAGGGCATATAATTCCTTGCTAAGTAGAGTTTGTTGTCCTCTCTATATAGACGAAAATTGTTATTAAAAGTCGAATTATAAAGTTTAGGGGTCAATGTGCTAAATCTCGCAAATATAAGGGGCTCTCTCTCAAATCAAACTAGAAAGGAGAGGCAATACCAAAACAAATGAAAGTACCTTGAGGGTTGACCCACTTTACGGTAAAAACAACTCAAAATTTCTGTCCCATAAACCTATTTTTTACTTCTTGACTTGCACGACCACAAAACAAGTTGAGCAACTAATCTACTGATTGAGAGCTGTAGAATAATCTTTTTACCATAACATCATAATGGTAATTCGAATTGAAACTGTTTTACAACATAAAGGATCGATTTTTGAGAGAATCCGAAGACAAGCGACTCCAATTTCCATGTTTTGGTAACCGGATCGATGAATGCAAGTCTTTGTATACCCAATCCGATAAGATTTCAAATAAACCGGTCTAAACCGAACCGGGATTGATAAAATCACAACCGGAGACTAGTTTTTATTGGTCAAGGGTCACACGTTCTTCCACATCCCCAAACTGCAGCTTAAAGTTCGTCCTGCAAGATCAACCAACCAGAAAATTTGAAGGAAAAAAAAGGTTGCAAACATGTAATGGATCACCTAAACCGAGGATACAACCGGAATTCCAAAACCTTAACCGGCTATCAAAACGGAATACCAATTTTTTGATGGTTGGAAAACAAACAAATACGAGTACAAAACCGAGTAGGAACTTACATGGTAATCGTCCATGTAGTCACGCGGGTGGTGCTGCAGAACAAACGAATTTTTCTTACATCGAACCATCCGGTACAAGCAGATTTGAAACGGTTAAGGTAAAACCGATATACTAAACCGATAAAAAGACGAAATGGGTTAACTGTGAAGTACCCTTTTGTAGCGTCTCCTGTCTCCATATCGGCTGTCCCTCTCTCTCCTCCGTCGTTCTCCTTCTTCTCTCGCTTTCCTAGCTTCCTGTCGACACAAATGCATACACACACATACATATACATGTTTTTCGTAGCAACAAAACCCGAAAAGAATAAACACGAAAAAGGAATACTAGAAAAATCAAGAACGTTTTTGGAAGCTTATTATGAACCTCTTCTTCTCGAGCTTTTCTTTCTTTCTCAGCTTCCGCAAATGCCTCGGTCTCGGTCTAGTGTTAAGCAAGTAGATAAACACCAATCAGAGAGCTTTAATTTGTATAAATATGTAACAAAATATCTCATACTTTCGCTGTAATTAGGCTAAAACACGAGAAGAACACGAGAAACCCGGCATAGAAAGGATTCGGAATCTAAATATTAAACCTGCCGGTAGTTGGTGAAATATTCATCCACGATGCTTCTAGCATATTGCGGGTCATCGCTTATCAAAATGTTGTCGAAGATGGAACCCGATTTCACCTGTAACATTAATAATACGGTGCAATTCGTGCACTATCAGCATCAGATAAGTTAAACCCGTCGGCCAAAAATGTATAATTTCTATGTTTCCCCGCTCCATTTTTCAACCTAACCTCAAAAACTTGAACTTTTGATCTTGCAATTTGTGTGGCAGTGAACCACAAATCCATACATAGTTGGATCATTTTTCTCCGAAAGCGACGATATGCATAAACTGAAACCGGTAAAGTATGAAAGATGACCAAGAAAGTACCTGCCATACTTCGATCCCAACGTATTTTACCGGTTTCATCACGTAGAGATCTGGGTCATCCTCGAATTCTGAGGAAAATCCGAGAAGGACCAGTTTAGCAAAAACACATATCTTCAAAGGAAACGTGAATACGCCTTTCAAGGGACGGAAACATACCCGGGTTATCTATCCATGGAGTCTTCCATTTTCCCTTGTAGTTCGGGTTCTTGATTTTCTGCAGTAGAAGAAAGTTTATGAAAGATGTATAAAAGGAACAAGAGAGTTTGTTCATCAAACCGGTATCAAGCGAACAAACAGTTAAAATCAATTACCTTCGGCTTCCAAGGACCTTTGTAGGCCGGGTTTGGTATCTTAGGAGGTTTCCATATACCATTTTCTTCCTCGTCCCAGTCCTCGGGCTATACAGATAATATATATAGGGAAAATATACATAAAACATCAACAGATCCTAAAGAGTAAACACATTGTAACAACTGTGACAGGCCGACAGTCTTATTTTATATAACAGCAAGAACATACCTCCTTAGCCTTTGGATCAGAAATCTCGCGTGGGATCGAATCATAACCCTGAAATACAAAGAAATGGTCATATAAAAGAAATTCAAATATGAACACTTCACTGATTCTTTTTTTACATCTGTGGCCACCGATTTACATAAGAAAGTTACCTCGGGTTTGACATTGTCGGGATCATCGATATACTCTCTGTCATCCCAGTCGGCTGGCTGTAAAACGCAAACAAGTAAGTTAATCTCCACAACGACATGAAACGAGTGTGATGTAACACATATGACATCACGATCATTCTCGGAAGATTTAGTAGCAACTCAGAGGAAAGCTTAATCTTTCCCGCGGTTGTAAAAGCTAAACTAACATTTTCCTCCTGTAATTAAGCAAGGCACTTTTAAGCACCGATACCTTCTTTGCATTCACATCCTTGATTTTTCTCGGAGGAAGAATGTCCCAGTCGGTGTACATGCTGCCGAATTCTCTCTCCCTATTGTCGACAAGAACGCTGTAAGAAGCATCGGGCCGGAGAATGAATGTGTAGAAATGAGTTAGCTTGTCGGTTTCACATTGCAAATCCTTTTTTAGGGGATAGTTCTGCCCTTGATATGATAGAATAACGTGCAGCTTCTTCGTCTGGGTTCCGCATATATCCGGTCCAAACATCAGGCTGCATAAAAATAACGAACAATAGTTAGGGTCCAAAAATCTCTTACGAGCTCAAACACGAATGGATAGACGCAAATACGTTGCAAAAAATAAGCGTAAACATATTAGAACAGATCATTTATAGGCCCAAAAAATCGGGTAAAACTACTGTTTTAGGATCTTTTTGCTTAAAGTAAAGCTTACTAATTTATCAGTTCAAGCGAGTAAACATGTCAGCATAAACAACAAGGCATCGTTCTTCTTACGCGACATTGAGGAGAAGAAAAACTAAAGAACTTGTGTACCAAGTTTAAGGACAATGTAAGTTGCAAAACAGAACAACACCCGGACAAGCATATGATTAGGTAATAAATTGTACCTGTAAGGTGTGTCGCCACCGAACTGCTTCTGGTTGACATAACCGGAGAGAAGCTTGATGTAACCGCCGCCGCACTCAATGTCTTGCTCGAACTTGACGGAGTATTGGACCACCAGGGTCCGGTTTTTGTTGCTGAGCTCCGGAATCTTTGCAGAGATGGCGTAATGCTTGGCATCGTTATACGTCTGAATACCTGAAGACAACAAGAAATTTCCCAGGTTTAATTGCGGAATATAAGGAACTTCATCCTTTTTGTCCCCAGAATTCACGTTTCTAATCCAAATTTCAAGATCCATCACAAGAACATACTATGAAGTAAGAACATTGTGAAAAATCCAAGATTTTGCAGGAGAAATAAGAATATTGTGAAAAAGATTACAAATCAAAGATTCTCAAGCCATGGATGATCGAAAAATGAAACCTTTATCGTCGGGATCGCCGGGCCATTTCCCAGCGGTGTGCTTAAAGGTTCCAGCTTTCCCTTCGGTTCGCTTCCAATCTGATAAGACCCACCTGCTCTTCCATCCACCTAAGTTAACAGAACTCTAAATCAATCATCCACAAGCATTAATTAAGACACTAGAACCAGTAATCAAGTAAAAAAAACCCAGAATTATATACACAGTGGCCATGTTTATCTATAGACAGAAACATAAATCTGCGTAAACTACAAAAGGAAAGCCTAGAAGCTTCTCTTATTCATGGGTTTGGTTCCGCTTTCTTGAAATGGTAAATCTAACCAACATAATCTACAATCTAGGTGCACAATGATCGTACTGACATAGAAAAGCAAAACCCATTTTAGAAAGAGGGACAAACAACATCGTATTTATGTTTATTTTCCGGGAAAAATCTCGACAAGAACAAGAGAATCCACCACTTCTCGTTATACTTCAGAAAGAGAGAGAAAAGAGTCAAGGAGAAGAAGAAGAAGAAGAAGGGAAGAAAATGCAGATTGAGCTTATTTTTGGGTAACGATCCCATTTTCAGAAATTTTTCTCGACATGAACTGGAAAATATTATGCTTCGGCTTTTATAACAAAAGTGTGAAGCCCCCGTTCGGACATAATGACTTTCGAGGCTGACTCCACTTTAGCAAAACACCCTTAGTCTTTGATTTAATTACAGGATTACCCTTACCATCTGAAATTTGAGACGCTTGGAATTTGATCATATTAAGAAAAACCATAAATTAAAATGTACTCAGAGCAAATTCTATTTGAACCAAATGAAAATTGATAGAAATACGATATTTAATTTTACTTCTATATTTATGATTTTCATATTTCATATCTGGACTAATTTAATTTAATAAAGGTTATATCTAAATGAATTTAAAATTGGATCAATTAAAATATTATTATATATTATAATTCAGTTATATCCGGATATAAATATCAACATTATTCATAGTTTATGAAAAATTTAAATATCATATAATCTTTGCAATCATTTCCTTTGCTAAATGTTGAGGTTAATATTTTCTAATGGAATATAAAAATTAAATTTACGCAGTTTTTGAGAAGCTTTCATTAATTTAATATCTAATCGCATATTGGAAAAATGTTTTCGAGAAAATAAATGATTAATGCACTTATAAGAGATGTGGAGAGGGAGGACTTTGAAGTCTTTGGAGTTGACCGGTTCGTCGTATCTCTTTTGAAGTTTCAAACTTCAAAGTCGTTCCGTGAAAGAAGAGGGCTAAACCGGTTCGGTCTTAATAAACTTTGGCATTAATTCCGGTTTACCAAAAGCATCATGCGACGGGTAAAACATTTGGTGGTATAAACTATACAATATTTTATATCATCCCTAACAAAAACCGACATACGTTGAGAGACAAAGATTTAGATATTTTATATATAAAAAAAAACATTTTATCGTATGTAGGGGTCCAATAATTTTAATAAAATATTCGAATATGGATACGAAAGAAACATAGTATTGATCGAAGAAGTAGAAATATATGAATCTCAGATTGATTTGGTGTATGATGAATTGAAAATCATAAGAATATTAACAAATTGATTGTTTACTATTGTGAAGAGGTAATGGGCCAATGGACCAATACAATTTGGGCCCATTTTGGGAAAAGTTTTAGGCAATCATTAATTCAGGTCCAATAAGTGGGCCAAGCCAGGATTTCAAGCCCAAAACGAAAACGAGTCGCCAAAAATGTTCAACGCGACTCGTCGATCCCAAATCTCGGCTCAGCCATGGCGACTGCCTCGTCGCTGTCGGCTTCTACACCGGCGTGTTATCCGGCGACGGAGACCAGTCACGTGGATGTATTCTGGGACGACGGAATGCTCCGACACAACGCCGTAGAAGGTGTGTTCGACACCGGAGTGGACCCCGGGTTCTTAGATGTGCTTGAGAAGCATCCTGAGAACTCGGACCGGGTAAGGAACATGGTCTCCATCCTCAGACGTGGTCCGATATCTCCCTACGTCAGGTGGTTACCCGGCCGGCGAGCGATCTTGCCGGAGCTTCTCACGTTTCACTCACCAGGTTCGGGATACTCTCTGTTTTTTGTCCGATTTGTGTTATGGTTTGTTCGTTTTTGGTAGAGATTGAGGTTACGAACTTCAGTCTACAAAGATTCTCGATCTAAGATATAGGAAATTTCGATTTAACGAAGGAAATATGCATTGATTCAATCATCCAGTACGAATTCGGTGTATTTTTCGAGCAAATCTTCGAAATTTGCAGTGTTTTTCTTCTGTGTTGGTAAGATTTTAGTTCTTGTGTTTTGGTTCTAGTTTTTGCCTTTCTCTTTCAATCTCCTGAATTGCTTTCTGAAAAGAAAAAAAACATCACTAGTCTCTTGAGAGTTTTTATCAAATTATTAAACTGAGAAAACATGATTAGAATTCTTGCTAATCTTCATGTTGAACGTGCAGTGAATATCATCGTGTTCATGATCGAGTGATAACAGCACAAAATTCGTAGTTCCAGAATAGCTTATGAGTTGTCTGAACATGAAACACAGCTATTACCTTCTTAGATTCCTACATTGTTCTCCATTGTTGTCTCAACGATTACTGAAGTATCTTTGTTCCTGACATATTTTCAGAATACGTGAACAAACTAATCGAAGCAGACAAATCGGGAGAAAGGTGTGAAATTGGGGGAGGAACTTTCATGAGCCCTGGTTCATGGGACGCTGCCCTTCTTGCAGCCGGAACAACTCTATCGGCAATGCAACATATCCTTGAAGGCCATGGAAAGATCGCCTATGCTCTTGTACGACCCCCGGGTCACCACGCACAGCCTACTCAAGCTGACGGGTACTGCTTCCTCAACAATGCGGGCATAGCAGTGAACTTGGCCTTGAACTCGGGTTGTTGTTCCCGAATTGCGGTTATTGACATCGATGTGCATTACGGAAATGGAACAGCCGAAGGGTTTTACAGATCAGACAAAGTTCTTACGGTGTCTCTCCATATGAACCATGGGTCATGGGGGCCGTCTCACCCTCAGAACGGGTCAGTTGATGAGCTTGGTGAAGGTGATGGGTACGGGTATAATCTGAACGTGCCTTTACCTAATGGGACCGGTGATCGGGGTTATGAGTATGCCATGGCCGAGCTGGTGGTTCCTGCGGTCAGAAGATTTGCTCCCGATATGGTTGTGCTGGTTTTTGGCCAGGACTCGAGCGCTGTAAGTTCTTACATCCCATGTTCTGGTGTTCATCCCAAAAAAACCCGAAGCAAAATCGGTTAATGATTGAACCAAACGGACCTACCCGACTGATTCAACAGTGTTTAAGCTAACCGACCACCGACCGAAGCGTTTACATTACTTCATCTCTATTGCTTATAGCATTCCGTATAAGTTTGTCTGATTTCCGTTGTGAATATTCAGGATGACCATAGATAGATCCTGTAAAGAGAGATGTTAACTTCTGAAGTAGCACACGGCATATCATTTTTGGCATTCTTGTTTTTTCTGTTCATGGATGCTACGCTATTGGTTTTATGGATACATTTTTGTTGTTTCAACTTGGGTATTGGCTTAAGACATCCAAAGAACTGACTTCATATGCAGTTTGATCCGAACGGGAGGCAATGCCTGACGATGGACGGATACCGTAGGATCGGGGAGACGGTAAGGGAGCTGTCGGAAGAATTCGGGAGGGGGCGGCTGCTTATCGTGCAGGAAGGCGGTTACCACGTAACCTACTCTGCCTATTGCCTTCACGCACTGCTCGAGGGAGTGTTGAAGATTCAAGAAACCCTGCTCTCTGATCCACTCTATTCTTACCCTGAAGATGAAGCTTTTGCCGTTAAGGTTGTCGATTCCATCAAAAGCCACCTCCTTGAAGCTGCTCCTCTTCTCTCCCGCACTTGAATTTGGAGATGCACCAGTCATTTAATTTGCATAAAAATTGTAATATTTTGCAGTAAAAAACCCATCATATTTGATAAGAAGTTATGTCATGATCTTAATATTATACTGTAAAATTCGAACATGGATACTTTTAGAAGACTGTATGTATATATTGAAGATGCTTATACGTCAGAATGACAGTAGGGAGTGTCACATCTGCAGAGGTACCGCTACTCCTTGTAACGAATATCGTATCATATATAGATTTGGTATCATTAAGGATAATCATTAGCTCTAGGTTCGTTACTACGACCCACCATATTATATAAATATGTATATCATAATGTATTTATGGTGTACATACGTATATGACATCTTTGTGACGACAAATGGTCTTATTTATTTGACAGTGACAGTGACAGTGACAGTGCCTGTCCCCTGTCTCAAAGATCCAGCTACCCTTCGTCTTTACCATCGTCTTCATCATTATTATTTATTTATTACTATATTATTAGTATTATCTCTAGTACTGTTATTATTGCGTCAGCATTGACTATTTTAGCATCCAAACTATATTTCCCTTTTTATACACTTAGATTTATAAAATTATATCCGAAAATTATCAGAATTCTTTTACTCTAGATTAAAACAAACCACTAATACTATGATTTTTGTATTACTACAATATTAGTATTGCATTTTTAGTTTTGTTTTATTCTACAACGATGTTTATAATCTGTTAATTCTATTAAATTGAAAGAATATATTTACATGTTATAATATATACAATTATTTTTATAACACGTATACAGTTTTACATATATGCTTGATTTAATGATTATATTTATTTTAAATTCATGGTTAAATTTAAATATTATTATTTTAATTGTTTTGATTTACGATGTGTTTTTATTTTTCAAATTTTTATAGTAATATAGTATTTTAAAATATTTTCTTTTATTTTATTTTGAAACTCCTATATTAGACTTTTTTTATTTTAGTTGAACTTTTGCAAGTATCGTACTTTTTATTTAAAATTTACCATTTTAATTATAGATATCGTTCGTATAAGTTAAATACAGAATAAGTAATTACAGAAGTTAATTAATTATTAACATTTTTCTTTATGAAATATTTTCTCTTTTAAATAAAAAAAAATATAATTTTAAAATGAAAATTTATTTATTTTCTTAACGGATTGTCCAACTGAAAGACCGGACACACCGAAAAAAAAAACGTGGATAGTTTCCATCCTTACCAAGACAATAGTTGTAAGAAAGAAACATATGCGATGAACATGTTCTGTAAATGAATTTTCTTTAGGATATATATTACGATGACACAACATTCAACGATAACCCAAGTTTGGATGGCCTAGTAGTGAGAGAACATGCAAAGCATGTTCTCATCCTGGATTCAAACTCAAGCGTGGGGATGGGCATTCACATGGGCATTCACATGGACTTCCCCGATCCTCTGGCAGATGTAGTCGGACCAAAGGTACGGTGAACTTCCGGATTATCAAAAAAAAAAAAACATTCAACGAGAGTAAAACACATGCACTAAACCGGCGCAAAATGTGCACGTGTGTACGAGTGATTCACATCTGTACCGGTTTGTTAAAAAGGATGAGAACCAGGCTTAATTACTTTCTATTTTACGGGTCTTTATATTAGTTACGGGCTAATTTTATTGTGTGCAACCAATTAATGCGTGTGCAATATACATATATTTTGGATCGCTAACATTGAACAAACGTTAAATCCAATAGGTAGCAAATATAACAAGCATAAATGATATATATAGTTCGTCGTTATAACCCTAACACATATATCCCACTTAAAAACGAAATTAATGTACATATACGACGTACATATCCGAAGAGGTAAAATGGCCGTTGCATGAAAAAGAACCTTAACACATTTGGTACGGTTTGATAAAAAAAAAACAAAACATTACAAGGTTATATGAATATATTCATCAAGGGATAGCCTTCGGCTTCTTGGGAGGGTTCCCATTATGGTGCAATGGGTCAGGTCCCGATGGAACGTTCCTCAGCTCTTCGTACAATCCTTTCTTCGTCTTCCCCTTCATTTCATTTCTTATCTTCAAAGCTTCGTTTGATCTTCCCAGTTCCATCCTCATGTTCATCTGCAACACATTTTGTGAGTATATATATATACGTATATGATATGGGTATATATATATACGCGTGCATGTAAAATGCAAACCTTTCGATTAGGAACTGCATGAACGTGAAAGAAGCCATGCCCATGAGCGTTATCTGCAAGACCAAACCAAAATTTTCACGTCTACAGATAAACTAACCAAGATTCTTTGTCATTTATACACGCATACTCGTATAAGTATACACACACATATATACGGATAGAGAGAGAGAGAGACCAGAAGAAGCATGCATGAACATGATGCAGAAGAGAAGCAGCAAGGCAAAGCTTCTTGACGCCATAGCGTGATACGGCGGAGGAGATTCGTTAAGGCGTTCTGCGACAACGTCGCCGTGGATCTTCCGGCGAACAGTAAATCCGGGAAGATGAGCGGTCCGGCAAAGGAGTGCAAGGTTTATTGAAGAAGTAAGAACAGGTTTACTGTTTGATGCCCACTCGAGGGCTTTTAACCGATCGTGTAGTTTTGGGATCAGTTAACAATTTCTCGGATTTGGGTTTCTGACCACTGGTGTAAATCGATTAGGTTTCAGATTTGGATGATGAAATGGGGATGATCAGCTTGATATGGATACTGAATATGGTCATGCTTTTGGGTGTTCCACAAAAAGTTTGGTGTTTTGGGTAATTGTCATATGAATGGAATGTGGGCTCTGGATGGGGCAAAGATGCGAGCTTTGGGATGAGAGTTGGACGTTAGAATGTTGGGTCATTGCTATGAAGTTATATAGGTATCGGAAATAACTCTATTATGTATCTCTATCTTAAGCTGAAGCATCAGAATGTTTGATGGTTTGGTATTCGTAATGAAGAAGCGGCGAAGCCTCAATTTATAGAGGAAACCTAAAGAGAGAAGGTTCTCAAATGATTACTCATGCAGCCATATTTCGAGTGTGTTATTTTTTTTTTCCAACTCCTGCATTGTATATATTTACATCTCTTGCCCTTTTTATATCTTGATAATATTGTTAGTTAATTTAGCATATGATTAAGTTCACTAAATTCGTTCAATAATGTAATGTTCGTTATATTTCAATATATGTGTATGTATGAGTGCGGCATTCTCGTTGATTCAACATTAATTTCCAACCCCAAAAAACAACTTCAGCACTAAATACAGTTTCAGATTTAAAAAAATAAAAAATAAAAGAATCAAGATTAGTAAACGGCAGGGATCAATGCGTGGCGACGGCGCCGTATCGAGGGTACCATCGGCTGACGTCATGCTGCAGAGAATGATACCTTGAGAGAGGATCGAACACGTGCCATCTTTGGTACAGGTCACGTCTCAGCCGTACGATCAAAGCAGAGTCCCCTCCTCTACCGTTGATATTTAATTAACATACTTTTATTTTATTTTTTCATGTCTTACATTATTATTTCGAAAAGCTTCAAATAAAATACTCTAATGATCTGGAACTCATCTGCAATGCAAATCTTGCATGTTCTACCTAGTTATTATGTTTAATAGAATTGTAGAATTTAGCGTTTCAAATTGGATTTACTCAATAAAGAATGAAATTTATGAAATTAAAATAATTCTAAAATAAAACATCTAAAATTTTAGAATATGTAAAAATTTAAATATTTAACTTTAAAATAGTTGTTCATTTTTATGTTGAATAAAACATTTTCCAGCCAAACACAATTTTTGAACCTTCAAAACTCATACACAAGCATCTGGTGTTAGGTTATTTGCGTTTTTTTTCTGCAACATCGAAAAATAATTTCGATTTGTTTAAAATCTTTTAAAATTATTTTTTAAAGTATAAAAATTGAACTTCATTGTAAATACTGTTTTTCAATACGGCAGTTGTTGAACCATTAATATATTAATGATTAAACCGTTAATTTATTCATAGTTACAATTTTTTCTTGACTGTGTAAAATTTGTTGAATATTTTTATCGTTTACGTTATACAGTGAAAAAATATCACAAAATATGATGATGATATAAATACACAACTATAAACATATACAAAAATATTTATATAAACGTGTATATATATATATGCACATATATATAATTATACTGATACATTATAAGCTATGCTGTTATTACAGAACAGGCTGGAAAATGCAAGAGAGAGACCAGAGGCGAAGAGACTGATTGAAGAAGCCCGCGAGTGTCATTTCTGTATTTAACCTTTTCCCGTTCATTGGTTCCTCAGCAAAAAGAGGTCACTTATTTTTGTCCTTAGTTTTTATTTCTTATTTTTTAGTGGAAAATAAAGATTCTGCAGCATATTTGACAATTTTAATGAACACTAAATAGATAGAAGAAGATAACAAAAATAATATAAATGTGGATCCCTCATGTCATAATGGTAGAGCAATTTACGTAATTATAAATAACAAAAATATAACTCTCATGATTAAAACGAAACTACACAATTTTATAAAAAAACGAATTACACAGCAAATAAGCTTCTTTAGTCAATGTAGTATTACAAGTATTTAAAGCTTTAATATACATATATACAGTATTATATATACTACCGATTTATTATAGTATTAATCTACATATTATCAATTATTATAGTTTTTTTAAAAATATAGATATTTAAAGATTAAATCTATCTCATTTTTATAATTCTTATGACTTTTATATGATATTATATATGTATACAATAAAATCGCCATTCATGTATTGTGGTTTTAAGGTGATTTTACCAAAAAGATTAAAATACCTCAAATTTTCAACAAACTATTTTTTTTTGTTACAATTGGAAAATGTAAAAAAAAAAATCACGAATCTAAAAAACTTTTAAGGCTTTATAGGAAAATGTTACACGGTACGAATTCTAACAAGCAAACTTGCAATCCAACATCTTAGAAAACTATATTCGTTTGGACAAGATTTAAATTGAGTTTGACTTCTGACCTCAAAATTAATTTGAATCTTGATTCATAATATCAGGTTACCCAAAAAAAAATATATTGAATTTACTTTTATTATAAAACTAAAACTAGAGGACACAAAATACTTTGGTTACTTCATACCAAAAAAAAAATACTTTGGTTAATATTTGAAACTAAAAATATTGGCTTTCTATAAATTTTTTTTATAAAAAATAGGACAACTAAAATCACAATGGATAACGAAATTCACTAAACCTGCAAGTAAAATAAATAAATAATAATAATAATAATAATAACGAGGAGGAGGAGGAAGAGTTTGACATGGGTGTAAAATGGGCCTTGTTTTTGGAAGAAGCCCATATAACGACAGAGCAAAACACAATGGGGTTTTGTATTATAACGAAACGATGTCGTTTTCCAAAGGGGATGGTTCCTATCGGAACCCATGAGACTATATACGTTATCTGCTTTTGCGATGATTTTAAATATCGGAAAATCAGTATTTTTTAGAATAAATTTCCGGAAATTTATGTACGAATGTGCTTTCTTTATATATATAAGATTACATTTTGGTGAAGTTTAATTTTGGGATTTTATCTTTCTTATACAACAATCCATATTTCGCAAAGAAAAAATTTGACTATCTTCTCTACTCTAAAAATTGGGGTTTTGTAATCATAACTGCATGGATATAAATTGCATTTGATATTTTCGGGGTTTTTACCATAAAATGCAAATCAGGTAACCTCGATATCTCATTTTATATAAATGAAATAGAAATGACAACCATTTAGATGAAATCAATTTAATTAGTTTTTTGGTTTGCTTATAAATTTATTTATGACAAATTATAAAAATTACATACAAAATTAAACAAACCATTTGGTTTATTACAATAAACGAAAAACTATTTAGACCAAGGATCAGGTCTACTCCATAAAGAGATATAGGGGTGTCAAAAAAATCCGAAACCCGTTATCCATTTCGAGTCCGTCCGTAAAATTTACGGGTTTGTGACTAATAAATTAAAGCCCAATCATCTATTGAGTCGGCCGGCCATTCGGCTTGAAAAAATAAATAAATTATATATTATATAATATAAATATATATAGATATAGATAAATATATCTATATATATATATATGCCAAAAAATATACATATTATTCCAATAAAGTTTAAATAAAATTTATTATTATATAAAAATTAAAAAAATGAGTTTTAATTTCTCTTAAATTAACATATATATAAATAAATGTTTTTATCAAAATTTTGTTTTATTATCTTTAGCATATATTAATTTTTTTTCTATTTTGTTGATTTTTTTATTAATGGTTTTATTTTTTAAAATTATTTTTTCCAAAATTTAAGTACGAAATCCGACCCGAATCCGAAAAAATCTACTGGACTGGGACTCGAACCCAAAATTTTAAACCCGCATATATTTTGGACCAGGTCGACCCGACTCATAAATTTTCGAACTTATGTCAGGCTTAGGTCGGGCCGGGCCGGCCCAACCATTTTGACACCCCGGAGAGATCCAAACTCATGCACCAAGAGTTTTTTAAATAACATTAGGCTATACACATAATTATATATTAGTTTATTAACACAATTTTTATAGAACGAATTTTAAAAATGAATTTGTTCCAACAAATGCTACAGATGGTGTATTTCTCACTGAAAAAATGAATTTTCAAGTTTTAGTTTCACTTGTTATTAGAAAAGCTACATTTGTCTTAAATTATTATTTAAAACAAAGATATTTATCGAATATGGAATAGCTTGTTTGGTATCTCATAATAAATTCAAATCTATTATGATAATATTATATATAAAGTTTTGGCATTAATGTAAACTACACAGAAACCGTTCCGTTCTTCTTCACCATCGGAACCTCTCAAATCTCTGTGCAAACTCCAAATCCCTAGATTCGATTTGAACCATGCAAGACTCCTCCAGACCCGCCACTGGTTATCCGTACCCGAACCCGTACCCGTACCCTAATCCTCCTCCGCCATCCGCCGCCGTCAACGGCTATCCTCCACCGCACGCCGGCGCAGCAGGATACCCTTACCACTATGCTCCGCCGCAGACAAACCCACGCGCCGTCCTCTACCGCCGTCTCTTCATCATCTTCATGGCGTTCCTCCTCATAATCGGTCTCGCCCTTTTCATCCTCTTCCTCGTTGTTCGACCCCACTTGCCCGATGTCAGCCTCAACTCTCTCTCCGTCTCCGACTTCAACGTGTCCAATAGTATGATTTCCGGGAGGTGGGATCTTCAATTCCAGGTCAGAAACCCTAATTCTAAGATGTCGCTGTACTACTACGAAGTCGACTGTTTCGTGTACTACCGCGGAGAGTCGCTGTCGAGATCTCGCCTCCCGCCGTTTAATCAGGGAACGAAGGATCAGACGCCGATCAACGCTACTGTTTTGGTCGCTTTGAGTTATTTGGAGGGTCGATTGGTGGATTCGATCGGGAAGGAGAGGGCCGCGCGTGGGCGCGTGGAGTTCGATGTGAAGCTTTTCTCCTACGTCGGATTCAAATACGGCGTGATACGGCGGAGGAGATTCGTTAAGGCGTTCTGCGACAACGTCGCCGTGGATCTTCCGGCGAACAGTAAATCCGGGAAGATGAGCGGTCCGGCAAAGGAGTGCAAGGTTTATTGAAGAAGTAAGAACAGGTTTACTGTTTGATGCCCACTCGAGGGCTTTTAACCGATCGTGTAGTTTTGGGATCAGTTAACAATTTCTCGGATTTGGGTTTCTGACCACTGGTGTAAATCGATTAGGTTTCAGATTTGGATGATGAAATGGGGATGATCAGCTTGATATGGATACTGAATATGGTCATGCTTTTGGGTGTTCCACAAAAAGTTTGGTGTTTTGGGTAATTGTCATATGAATGGAATGTGGGCTCTGGATGGGGCAAAGATGCGAGCTTTGGGATGAGAGTTGGACGTTAGAATGTTGGGTCATTGCTATGAAGTTATATAGGTATCGGAAATAACTCTATTATGTATCTCTATCTTAAGCTGAAGCATCAGAATGTTTGATGGTTTGGTATTCGTAATGAGGTTCAACCGTTGCATATCCTCTGTTCTTGTTTTCAGAGTCAGACTGGCTCGACATGCTTGATTTATATGAAATTGCAATATATATATATATATATGTATGTATAGGCCCATTTGAAGCCCAATATTTGGAACCTCGCCGAGATATTTTCCTTTTTTAAATAAAATATAGTAAATGATGAAACGGCACCGTTTCGTTTCGGTTTGGGCTTGGCACCGACATTGAAAACCAAATAAATTTAATTTAGCCGTTGCGCTTTTTCTTTGAATCCCCATTTTATTTCAGATCCCTCACCTCAGCTAGAGCCTTCTTCTTCCTTACTCTTATAATGGCGATTCGAGTCCTATCTTCAGAGAAATCGGTGTGGACAGAAAAAACCTTCGCTATTTAGCCCTTTCTCTCAAACATTCGGACCGGAAGTTCGATTCAAGAAATTCTGTCCGTGAAATCCAGAAAGAGAAACCTTCGATTCGGGCCCTATCATCAGAGAAATCGGTGTGGGCAGAAAAAACCTTCGGTATTTAGCCCTTTCTTTTAAACATTCGTGCTGGAAATTTCTGGAAATCAAGAAACGATTCAAGAAACGCTGTCCTCAAAACCCGGAAAGGGATACCTCGTTTTCCCTTTCTGCTTTCCGTCTTCTCTCTTGTTCTTGCTTACCACTCCTTTTGGTTTTAAGGAGTTTCTTCAACTCATGTTTATTTTCGAAACCAAGAAATGTTGTCCTTGAGTGTTGCCCATGAACCTGAGTGCTTGTTATTGCCGTCTTTTTAATGTTGCGGGGTTTTTTGTTCAGTTCTTTGTCGTTCCCATGTAGGCGGAACCGTTTTCCTACCTCCTTTCCGTCTTATCTCTTATTCTTTCTTTTCACTCCTTTTGCTTTTACAGAGTTTCTCACCACGGCTTATTTTGTCTTTGTCTTGGCGATGAAAGGGGTATTCTTGCCGCATGTGGCTGGAGGTAAGTTGAACATTTTGCCCTCTCTTATTGTATATGCTAACTTTGATGTATAATCACGCGTGTTTGGTTGTTTGCCTCGCAATGTTCATGTCGTTTATATTGTTTGCCGCCTATTAGAGTTTACAATGTTGATGGTTCCTTCTTGCAGACATTCAGTGTCAGGTTGCTTCTGTAAGCTGGGCGATCTGTGTTTTTAGTATTTACAGTTGGCACATTTTGATTTATAATCACACGAAAAAAGTATCTGGTTGTTGTTGCCTCTACTCTTTCC